GTGTGAGTGTGAGTGTGAGTGTGAGTGTGGACAAGGGCTCAGTCTGTGGTCATGAAGTGCAAACGAAATCAAGCCTGATCTGATGATGAAGTGCTTCCATAGGCAGAAGGAGAAGGAGCAGCTGATGGCTCTGAAGAAGCATCACGGAGAAGAGATCGACCATCATAAGAAGGAGATCGAGCGTCTGCAGAGAGAGATCGACAGACACAAGGGCAAGATCCGGAAGCTGAAGCACGACGACTGAAGCTCCACCATCATCATCATCATCACGTCTTGTGCCTGAGCCGCTCTCTCTCTCTCTCTCTCTCTCTCTCTCTCTCTCTCTCTCTCTCTCTCTCTCTGCCTCGCTCTCTCTCTCTCTCGCTCGCTCTGTCTCTCTCGCTCTGTTTAGTTAAACTTTATGTAGTAAACAATGAAAATTAAATAAAAATAAAAAACTGATTGACTCTAGTGCACTCTATTCTAATTCTGCTCTTTAAAAAAAACCCTTGTTTCTTTCAGAACTGCACGAACTGCTAGCTTGTGTTGTGCTCATAAGAGCTGTAGCAGCAGCAGACTGATCCAGACACAGCTCAGTGTAGAGCACACCTGATGCAGACACAGCTCAGTGTAGAGCACACCTGATCCAGACACACCTCAGAGTAGAGCACACCTGATTCAGACACAGCTCAGTGTAGAGCACGCCTGATCCAGACACAGCTCAGTGTAGAGCACACCTGATGCAGACACAGCTCAGTGTAGAGCACGCCTGATCCAGACACAGCTCAGTGTAGAGCACACCTGATGCAGACACAGCTCAGTGTAGAGCACGCCTGATCCAGACACAGCTCAGTGTAGAGCACACCTGATGCAGACACAGCTCAGTGTAGAGCACACCTGATGCAGACACAGCTCAGTGTAGAGCACACCTGATGCAGACACAGCTCAGTGTAGAGCACACCTGATGCAGACACAGCTCAGTGTAGAGCACACCTGATGCAGACACAGCTCAGTGTAGAGCACACCTGATCCAGACACAGCTCAGTGTAGAGCACACCTGATCCAGACACAGCTCAGTGTAGAGCACACCTGATCCAGACACAGCTCAGTGTAGAGCACACCTGATCCAGACACAGCTCAGTGTAGAGCACACCTGATGCAGACACAGCTCAGTGTAGAGCACACCTGATGCAGACACAGCTCAGTGTAGAGCACACCTGAGCCAGACACAGCTCAGTGTAGAGCACCCCTGATGCAGCCACAGCTCAGTGTAGAGCACACCTGAGCCAGACACAGCTCAGTGTAGAGCACCCCTGATGCAGCCACAGCTCAGTGTAGAGCACACCTGATCCAGACACAGCTCAGTGTAGAGCACACCTGATCCAGACACAGCTCAGTGTAGAGCACACCTGATGCAGACACAGCTCAGTGTAGAGCACACCTGATCCAGACACAGCTCAGTGTAGAGCACACCTGATCCAGACACAGCTCAGTGTAGAGCACACCTGATGCAGACACAGCTCAGTGTAGAGCACACCTGATGCAGACACAGCTCAGTGTAGAGCACACCTGATGCAGACACAGCTCAGTGTAGAGCACACCTGATGCAGACACAGCTCAGTGTAGAGCACACCTGATGCAGACACAGCTCAGTGTAGAGCACACCTGATGCAGACACAGCTCAGTGTAGAGCACACCTGATGCAGACACAGCTCAGTGTAGAGCACACCTGATGCAGACACAGCTCAGTGTAGAGCACACCTGATGCAGACACAGCTCAGTGTAGAGCACACCTGATGCAGACACAGCTCAGTGTAGAGCACACCTGATGCAGACACAGCTCAGTGTAGAGCACACCTGATGCAGACACAGCTCAGTGTAGAGCACACCTGATGCAGACACAGCTCAGTGTAGAGCACACCTGATGCAGACACAGCTCAGTGTAGAGCACACCTGATGCAGACACAGCTCAGTGTAGAGCACACCTGATGCAGACACAGCTCAGTGTAGAGCACACCTGATGCAGACACAGCTCAGTGTAGAGCACACCTGATGCAGACACAGCTCAGTGTAGAGCACACCTGATGCAGACACAGCTCAGTGTAGAGCACACCTGATGCAGACACAGCTCAGTGTAGAGCACACCTGATGCAGACACAGCTCAGTGTAGAGCACACCTGATGCAGACACAGCTCAGTGTAGAGCACACCTGATGCAGACACAGCTCAGTGTAGAGCACACCTGATGCAGACACAGCTCAGTGTAGAGCACACCTGATGCAGACACAGCTCAGTGTAGAGCACACCTGATGCAGACACAGCTCAGTGTAGAGCACACCTGATGCAGACACAGCTCAGTGTAGAGCACACCTGATGCAGACACAGCTCAGTGTAGAGCACACCTGATGCAGACACAGCTCAGTGTAGAGCACACCTGATGCAGACACAGCTCAGTGTAGAGCACACCTGATGCAGACACAGCTCAGTGTAGAGCACACCTGATGCAGACACAGCTCAGTGTAGAGCACACCTGATGCAGACACAGCTCAGTGTAGAGCACACCTGATGCAGACACAGCTCAGTGTAGAGCACACCTGATGCAGACACAGCTCAGTGTAGAGCACACCTGATGCAGACACAGCTCAGTGTAGAGCACACCTGATGCAGACACAGCTCAGTGTAGAGCACACCTGATGCAGACACAGCTCAGTGTAGAGCACACCTGATGCAGACACAGCTCAGTGTAGAGCACACCTGATGCAGACACAGCTCAGTGTAGAGCACACCTGATGCAGACACAGCTCAGTGTAGAGCACACCTGATGCAGACACAGCTCAGTGTAGAGCACACCTGATGCAGACACAGCTCAGTGTAGAGCACACCTGATGCAGACACAGCTCAGTGTAGAGCACACCTGATGCAGACACAGCTCAGTGTAGAGCACACCTGATGCAGACACAGCTCAGTGTAGAGCACACCTGATGCAGACACAGCTCAGTGTAGAGCACACCTGATGCAGACACAGCTCAGTGTAGAGCACACCTGATGCAGACACAGCTCAGTGTAGAGCACACCTGATGCAGACACAGCTCAGTGTAGAGCACACCTGATGCAGACACAGCTCAGTGTAGAGCACACCTGATGCAGACACAGCTCAGTGTAGAGCACACCTGATGCAGACACAGCTCAGTGTAGAGCACACCTGATGCAGACACAGCTCAGTGTAGAGCACACCTGATGCAGACACAGCTCAGTGTAGAGCACACCTGATGCAGACACAGCTCAGTGTAGAGCACACCTGATGCAGACACAGCTCAGTGTAGAGCACACCTGATGCAGACACAGCTCAGTGTAGAGCACACCTGATGCAGACACAGCTCAGTGTAGAGCACACCTGATGCAGACACAGCTCAGTGTAGAGCACACCTGATGCAGACACAGCTCAGTGTAGAGCACACCTGATGCAGACACAGCTCAGTGTAGAGCACACCTGATGCAGACACAGCTCAGTGTAGAGCACACCTGATGCAGACACAGCTCAGTGTAGAGCACACCTGATGCAGACACAGCTCAGTGTAGAGCACACCTGATGCAGACACAGCTCAGTGTAGAGCACACCTGATGCAGACACAGCTCAGTGTAGAGCACACCTGATGCAGACACAGCTCAGTGTAGAGCACACCTGATGCAGACACAGCTCAGTGTAGAGCACACCTGATGCAGACACAGCTCAGTGTAGAGCACACCTGATGCAGACACAGCTCAGTGTAGAGCACACCTGATGCAGACACAGCTCAGTGTAGAGCACACCTGATGCAGACACAGCTCAGTGTAGAGCACACCTGATGCAGACACAGCTCAGTGTAGAGCACACCTGATGCAGACACAGCTCAGTGTAGAGCACACCTGATGCAGACACAGCTCAGTGTAGAGCACACCTGATGCAGACACAGCTCAGTGTAGAGCACACCTGATGCAGACACAGCTCAGTGTAGAGCACACCTGATGCAGACACAGCTCAGTGTAGAGCACACCTGATGCAGACACAGCTCAGTGTAGAGCACACCTGATGCAGACACAGCTCAGTGTAGAGCACACCTGATGCAGACACAGCTCAGTGTAGAGCACACCTGATGCAGACACAGCTCAGTGTAGAGCACACCTGATGCAGACACAGCTCAGTGTAGAGCACACCTGATGCAGACACAGCTCAGTGTAGAGCACACCTGATGCAGACACAGCTCAGTGTAGAGCACACCTGATGCAGACACAGCTCAGTGTAGAGCACACCTGATGCAGACACAGCTCAGTGTAGAGCACACCTGATGCAGACACAGCTCAGTGTAGAGCACACCTGATGCAGACACAGCTCAGTGTAGAGCACACCTGATGCAGACACAGCTCAGTGTAGAGCACACCTGATGCAGACACAGCTCAGTGTAGAGCACACCTGATGCAGACACAGCTCAGTGTAGAGCACACCTGATGCAGACACAGCTCAGTGTAGAGCACACCTGATGCAGACACAGCTCAGTGTAGAGCACACCTGATGCAGACACAGCTCAGTGTAGAGCACACCTGATGCAGACACAGCTCAGTGTAGAGCACACCTGATGCAGACACAGCTCAGTGTAGAGCACACCTGATGCAGACACAGCTCAGTGTAGAGCACACCTGATGCAGACACAGCTCAGTGTAGAGCACACCTGATGCAGACACAGCTCAGTGTAGAGCACACCTGATGCAGACACAGCTCAGTGTAGAGCACACCTGATGCAGACACAGCTCAGTGTAGAGCACACCTGATGCAGACACAGCTCAGTGTAGAGCACACCTGATGCAGACACAGCTCAGTGTAGAGCACACCTGATGCAGACACAGCTCAGTGTAGAGCACACCTGATGCAGACACAGCTCAGTGTAGAGCACACCTGATGCAGACACAGCTCAGTGTAGAGCACACCTGATGCAGACACAGCTCAGTGTAGAGCACACCTGATGCAGACACAGCTCAGTGTAGAGCACACCTGATGCAGACACAGCTCAGTGTAGAGCACACCTGATGCAGACACAGCTCAGTGTAGAGCACACCTGATGCAGACACAGCTCAGTGTAGAGCACACCTGATGCAGACACAGCTCAGTGTAGAGCACACCTGATCCAGACACAGCTCAGTGTAGAGCACACCTGATGCAGACACAGCTCAGTGTAGAGCACACCTGATGCAGACACAGCTCAGTGTAGAGCACACCTGATCAGCTTGTGCTGGAGAGAGAATGAATGATGAAATATGTGCTCATATTCTGAGTGTGTAATGTTTAATCTGCACCTTAACCTTCTGATCTGGAGTCTTCTTTATGATCAGCATTATTAATAACGGCGCATATGATGATGTGATCAGAGCAGAACAAAAACAAAACAAGCTGACGTCATCGCGACCCACACGTGACCGCTCAGCCAGCGCCTCTGATTGGATTAGATTTCTACCTTCAGAGTGACGTGTTGGAGTGAAATATATATCAAGCAGCTATTTCTTTTATTTCTTTTATTAGGAAACTACCATACACACCAAACAAACTCGAAACAGCATTAGAATCGTGGTTTTAATGGACCGATGTGAATATCTTGAGCCGAGTGACTGACCACATCATATTCTTTTAACTTTTAGACTTCTTATTTTCTCACACATGTTGCACATTTAAGTTATCTCATAAGGCTAACTTATTAACATGCAAAGAAGAGCAAGATTATAATATAACAATAATACGTTGCGTTATCAGATGAATCGGGACAGCATTAAAAGGAGCAAATCGTAAAGAAATAAAGTAGTCCGTTTAAAGTTAAAACTAAGCCATAAATATTAATAATTCCCTTCCATCCGCGACAGCGTTGCGGCCGTGCACGCGCATGCCCCGCCCCGTGCGTGCGCGCTCCCGCGAGCCGTGCGCCGTGACGCAGCCGGTCCGCCGCGCGAGGAAGTGGCGCTGTTGTTGGAGCGACGGGAGCGTCTCGCTGTGTCTCGCGGCTCGATCTGAGGAGGTTTACCGTGTCTCGGTGAGTTCCGCCGCCCGTGCAGCGCCCCGCGGCGCTCTCTGCATCCCCGCGCAGCAGCAGACCGCGGAGAGAGAGCGCGGCGGGGTTCGGCGGGTCTGTCTGAGCTGTGTCTGCTGCTGCTGCTGCTGTAGGCCGCGGCGCGGGAAGCTCCGTCTCCCGGTTTGACGCGTTATAACGGGCTTATTCCGCCAGCGGCGGGGGTGTGGCGGGTAACGGGTGTCACGTGTGAGCTACAGTTCGATAATAACCCGTTACAGGCGCTAATGCACACACAGACACGCGCGTTAGCATTGCTGCTGCTGCTAGCCTCATGCGTGAGGGGGCGGATCACCGACGCGTGTGTGTGTGTGTGTGTGTGTGTGTGTGTGTGTGTGTGTGTGTGTGTGTG